AGAGACTTGGTGAAATACTCAAGAAAGAGCGAGAAGCTTACGAGCAAGTTATCAAACAAACAAACTATCCCGTTTCAAATAACCTCGGAGGAGAATTGAAACTAATTTCTGAGCTGCGACGCTCTCTGGAAGAAGGCATTATTCAGAATAACAAACTAAGAGCCCAGCTACAGGAGAAAATTGCTCGAACTTCTGAACACGAAAAACCTGACAATTCGCAACAAGCAGATGAGGTTCAGAGACTACACGCGAAACTTGAAGATAGCGAACGATGGAATATGTCTTTACAGAGTCGCTTAGATGCCTTACAGCCTCGAGCCAGAGGAGTTGGGGGTTCAAGTGGAAATCTCAGTGTGTTGGGTACTACTCCATGTCCACAATCTGGAAATGCTGAAACAAATGACAAAGTAAGAACAATGTGGTTAGCACTATTTTCCATCCAGCAAACTGCCCTATCGATTTTCTAAAGTCGTTTCTTTTTGGATTTTTTTATTAATTCGGTTAGGGTTAGGGTTAGGGTTAGAGTTAGGGTTGCGGTTAGGGTTAGGGGTTAGAGTAGGGTAGGGTTTGGCTTAGTTACATACACTGTAGCCATTTAACACCTCTTCCATCTTTCGAAAATGATGTCAATTCAGTTTGCTGGATGGAAAATAGTGCTAACCGAACAAATGTTTGATGCTTCCATCAGCTTCCTGATTAATTTTTATAATTTTGTATTTGTAAATTCTGAACGCTGATTGGCTAAGAGCCGAGTTGACATAACTCGGTGTCAACACGGAAAATTTCCTGCCACTCTTTAAATTCAAAAGCGTATTCCCGAATTTTGTGCTATATTATTAAAAATATATAAAACATTTTTCCGTATTGATATACAGTTACCACTCGTGGAAATTGGGAAAACTCGAAATTGTGGAAGACACTTCAGCCTCCGGGCGTTGTGTTTCCACACAATTCCCCTTTATCCCAATTTCCTATATAACTGTATGTCAACACGGAAAATGTTTTATATTTGTTAAATATAATATTGATTAGATCGCCTTTGGGTGATGTTGTTCTTGTTGCCGTTGCTGCTGTTGTTCTTATTCTTGTTGTTATGATTGCCGTTGTGTTGTTGATGATGTTGTTGCTGTTACTGTTGTTTTTATGTTATTATTATTGTTATTGTTGCGCTGTTATTGTTGTCATCATTGATCCGGTTTCTGTTGTTGAACTTGGACGTAGTTGTTGACGTTATATTTGTTCTTGTTGTTGTTTTTACTGTTGTTGTTGTTGTTGTTGTTGTTGTTGTTGTTGTTGTTGTTGTTGTTGTTGCTATCTGTTGTTGTTGTTGCTATCTGTTGTTGTTGTTGTTGTTGTTGTTGTTGTTGTTGTTGTTGTTGTTGTTGTTGTTGCTGCTGCTGCTTTATTGTTTCTGCTGCTTTGCTGTTATGTTTCCTATTCCGTTACCATATCTACTCATGCTGATATTTTTTCCCTTTTCTCAGCAAATGGAAGAAATGAAAACTCGAGTGAATGAATGTGAGAAATTAAACACCAAACTGCATGAACAATTAGAGAAAGCAGCGAAGGCTAGATCTGAAGAGAGAAATGGACTCAGCCAGTTGAACGAACAACATAAACAGGAGATAAATTTACTGCGTGAAGAACTGAAAAAAGTGAACGACGTTCGTGATGAATTAAGAGACGCAACGAAGAAAGCAGAAGCCGAGTTAATCTCGTATAAGAAAGAGCATGATATTGAATTCAATACTTTGAAAAATGCGCTTGAGGATAGTCAAAAGATCAATGAATCTCATAGGGAACGGTTAAAGGAAAGAAAAGAACACAAAGAAAGCCAGGAATCTTTGGGCGATAGAACTAGTTCACCTATCAGTGGTGTTAATGTTAGTCAACTGCAAAATGAACTGGCTGAGAAGACGCGCATAATAGAGTATTTAAATAAGAAATTGCAAAAATATGATGAAGTTAAGGCAAACCAAACATCGTTTACTTTTCTTGAGGATACTGAAGGTTCTGGCGAAGAGAGATCACCAAAGACTGTTCAGATCCGTCAATTACAAAACGATTTGGAAGAAAAGCAAAAACTAATTGACGCTTTAACTGAAGAATTGAATAGGAATAATAAAAGCAATCTGGAATCATCTGGTTTGGCAGATGCTAGTAATGTTAATACTATTTTGTCAAATACTCCAAGAACTAGCAAAGACGATAGACAAGGGCAAACTTCATTTGATAAAGGGAGTTATACTGCGAGGCCTAGTGATGTTATTGATGACGCCAGCCCAGATGACCGAAGATCTAGCCGACTCCAAAAAGAACTGGAAGACGTTTACAAGAAAAACGACGAATTACGAAAAGCCGTTTCGGAAAATATAACTCTAGTTGACTTAAATAGACAATTGAAACAGGATTTAACCGCATCAGAACAAAGAAGGGGCGTACTTGAGAAGGAATTGCAAAACTATGCGAAGAAAATTAAAGATACGAACTCAGAAGTTTCTCGTTTGGTAGATGAGCTTGCTAGAACTCGTACCCTAAACTCGGATTATGTGTCTCAGTTAAAAGCTCTACGACGACAACAGGAGCAGGCGACAAAGTTTCGCGAGGAGGCGGTTAATGCGAGAAGCATGAATGAAAAATTGAGTGCTGAAGTGCAAAGACTGTTTGCGTCCGTTGAGAGTGCTGGGAAAGAAAATGAGAGGTAGGCATGAAATTGAGCGAATCTCAATTAGGGGGGGGGGGGGTTAATACGTAGTCACTAGGGCTGCCCCGGATAACAAAGCATCCATGGAAAGGGTTACTGTTTCTATATAAGTTTAAATCTGTTTAATCCATTGAGCGCCAGCGCTCTCCCTTTGATGAGTAAAATGCCGTTGTGCCTCGGTCAAACGAGGATGAGAATTGATTGGATATCACTCCGCGCACAGCGAAAACTCTCATCAACTCTCATGCCCCGGTCAAACGAGAACAAGAGTTGCATGAGAGTTGAGAAGAGTTACTGGATATTACTGCGCGCACAGCGAAAATTCTCATGTCCCCAGGAAACGAGAACAAGAGTTGCATGAGAGTTGATAACAGTTGACTGGATATTACTGCGCCCGAAGCGAAAACTCTCATCAACTTTCATTCCCCGGTCAAATGAGAACAAGAGTTGCATGAGAGTTGATGAATGTTGACTAGATACTGTGCGCGAAGCGAAAACTTTCATCAAAATTTGAATCAACTCAAAGTTGATGAGAGTAGATAAGAGTTTGCTGTCAAACTCAATCGAAAGTTGCAACTCTTAATTATATCCTACCAAGGCTTTAGACAAAGTAAACTAAT